TGAAATTTCAGGGGTGGAGCTTTAAGCGGAGTTTTATGGGCAGGAAGTGTGCTTGCCTCTTGAATTTATTTCTAGTACTAATTCTTAATCTAAAAAACCTGCTGCTTACAATTATGGTTAGCAAAGTGGCACGTAGGAAACCCGAACTGTCTAGCGATAAGGTACAGTACGATTATTTCAGGTAGAAACTGGGTCATACCGATCTTAGAGGGCACATTTTTCCTTTGCCTGGGAGGGACAGCGAAGCTGTCCCAGGGTCGGGCAGCTCCAATTCAGTGTTCTGGAGACCCAGGACATGCCTAAGTATAACCTATGTTACCCAAGGACTCTAGATTGCTTAAATATGTATCTTTGTTGTTTAATGTTAATTATTTTTGGTTTTGGATTTGTTTGTTTGTTTGTGATGAGTACCGTTTCTATCTGGATGAGACATAGGTCAAGAATCCTGTTCTGGGATGTGGGAAAGGGAGGCCCCCACATCTGTTCCTGTCAGGCCCCCATCAGGGGGCTTGGGCGGTGTTCCTGTTATCTGCTCAAGATCCCAAGACTGTAAAAGTACTTGTTCACTGAAAGGGTATAAGTGTAAATGTTTATTTGATGTTTATATGTCTACTTGGGTATAATTATTTGTTCATGTAAGTGTGGAAGTCTGCGGAAAACAAAACAAAACCACAGGCTTGATTTCTTTGAGGCTAAGTGCTCTGACTGATAGCAAAGAGCCCTGAGCGGCTGCTGGGATCTTTCCCCAAGGGTGCTTGCTCTCTGTCAGGGGTGAAATCGGCCCGCCCAACTAGTAAACATCTCTGTCTGTTTGTTTGCTGGAAACTTTGATTTGCTATGTGATATTCTGTGCTGGGTTGGGATTTTGGAATTCTGGGGTAGATTTAAAAGGTATTTGTGGCTTTTCTAGTCTGATTGGGACATTTAAGGGTGGGGCTCACAGTTCCTCAGGGCAGAGATTTTATGGGCCCCCCCCCCTGCCTGTGCTGAATTAAATAATACAGGCCAGTGTCATTTGGCTTGCTGGTTAAAGGAAGACAATGGGCCTTGGAATCTGTAAAGGTGGGCGGGAATGAAGCTGGTCAAATGTACTGAAAGGGTTTGGTACCTGTTGCTGCTAGCAAAGGAGGGGCTGATATCCCCTTCTAGCACACTCCCTTGAAAGAGGCCTGGTTGCTGCTCTGCCAGATAAGGAAACTGGTAGAAAGGCAAGAAAGCAGAGTGCTGTAACTAATAAACAGGGTTACTTTGAAGTTCTCCAAGAGAGGAGGAATCTGACTCGGAGACTGGCCAAAACCTTGTTGGGTTGGGAGAACCAGAGGCTATGATAGGGTCCGACAACGGACCAGCCTTTATTTCACAAGTAACGCAGGTAGTAACCAGGGCTATTGCGGACATTTTGCTTATAGGCCCCAGAGTTCAGGGCTGGTAGAAAGGAGTCATGAAAACTGGCGGGGACTGGGTGGCTCTCCTATCATGTTTGGCAGGCCACCCCCTATCATTCCTAACCTTAAAGCTGACTTTCTTGCTGCAAGAACTATCTCTTTCCTTGAGAGGGCTTCAGAGGGTGCACGAGGACATTTGGCCGAGCCTCCATGCCATCTACAAGACTGGCCCAACCCCAACTCCTCATCAGCACAGACCAGGAGATTGGGTCTACGTCAGAAGGCACCGCCGGGAGACTCTCGAGCCAAGTTGGAAGGGTCCCTACACTGTGGTGCTGACAACCCCCACCACTCTCAAGGTAGACGGCGTCGCGACCTGGGTCCATCTCACTCACGTCCGGTCAGCGGACCCATCCGTGATCCGGGAAGACTTCGTCACCAGATGGAGTGTCAATCAAGATCAACGCAACCCGCTCAAGCTCAAGTTATGGCGTGCTCGACCTGCCTGATGCTGGTAACATTTCTCGCGATCACTCCTGCCACTGGGAGCCCCCACAATACTGTGTAATAGACTTAGATGATGCCTGCGTCTTCACAGACATGGCTCCAAAAAGACAAGGACAATTCATAGGAAGGTCAAGAATAGACTGTAGTATAAGATTTGGCTGCCTGAAGTGGCCATGATGCCAATATTATGTTTCATTGTATTGATATGTTATATTGACCTTTAATTCTCTTGCAGGTTTGAATGTATGTTGGCTGTCCTGGAAGGGGACTGTTTGGGGTGAACCCCAAAAGTAAAGGGTGTCTAGCTGCCAAGAGGGCAGGTGCCCAACTGGGCAGGGAAGGGTGCCCATCAGGTTTTAGTCTCTGTTGAGAGACAGTTAATGGTTGGCAGCCTGTATACTGTCTTGCAGGCCTACGTAACCATGCCCATGTCAGGGGTAGTAGAATAAAAGGTCTGAGGCATGGTAATGCATAAAAAGAAGGTTCTATGCCAACGGTTACTGTTTTGTTATAAATCCATGAAAAGGAATTGGCAAGGAAAGTCAGAAAATCTTAGAGCAGATCAGTATGTTTTTCTCCTTATGTAATTCCTCCGAAATTTGGCAATGCTAAGTAAGTCATGGCAATACATTTCTTTGCATAGATTCAATAAGACTGGTTCCTAATAGTGGTTTTATTAACAGAAAACTTTGACTAGAGTATCATGTTTTAAAGAGCCCTCTCTGAGCTCTAAAGACTTAAAGCCAGTAAGAATGCCACAAAGAAAGCCTGGTATCCTGCTTGGGAGTCCTGAAGATGGCTGGCGCTGGAGCCTCAGGCCCATGCCCTACCAACACTGGCGGTTGGTAAGAGTAGAAGGGGAGCAGTAAAGATGCCTCTGCGTCCCTGCGGAACCCCCACACACTCTGGGCCGCAACGAGTAGGAGGGCTACTGAGATGGGCCTTAAAGCCTGGAGCGTGGGCTCAGGTGGAGTTGCTACAGGTGAAGGATTCACCTAACTCAGCAGATACTGCAGGCAGGTCTGATGGCAGCTGGATGGCTTGGCTTCCTGGCCCTACAGGGCACATTAAGATTCAACCATGAGATTCCAGCAAAGGTGGTCGGTTACCATTCTTGTTGTGTTTATGCAAACATCAAGCCAAATTGAATACAGTAGATAAATTAATCTTGATTTGGCTTTTCGATAGCCATGGAGGAATTTTAAGAAGAAAAATCCTATTTCAATAGAAGTTGTTATTGCTAAAATGGTTTCTTTCCCTTCCACCGGACCATTTGTTAAATGTATAGGGATAGTTCAGTTGATAGTTCTATGTGCCAAGTACGGGCCTCTAGCAATGGTGAAATAGAAATGCAGTCCGTCTCATGATTGAGCCGGAAGTTCCAAGACAAAGGGGGGAATGAAAGGGCAAGGACTACACCCTCCATCTTACCCTGGGTCCTCCATTTTTGGGCAGCCATGTGCTCGGCAAGGCTTCTTCCCGGAAGCCCAAACCTCTGCTAGCCACACCCAGGATTTCTTTAAACTAACCAATGACAATCAAGGGAAGTGTGCGCCATAGATACGACCACATCCTATGTAACGAGATACCGACTTGCGCCTGGCCAATTGGCAGGGCCCACAGTCCTCTCTCCTCCCCTTACTATGAAACCTCTGTCCCCACAGGGCTGGCCCTCTCTCTGCCACTTGCTGGTGTGCCAGTAAGGAGGGTAGGGGAGCCAAGCCCGGGTTTGAATAAAAGACTCTCTGCTTTTGCATCGGACTCGGCTGGCTCCCTGGTTTGGTCTCTTGGGGATCTTGAAATCTGGGCATAACAATCAATCGACTGCCTCCTGCACACCTGCATCAGTGCACAGGACGATGCTCAACCCACTGAGCAACACCAGCCAGGCTCAGTAAATTAATTGGCCCCATGTGGAAATTGTGAGTGGAAGGCAGGAGGGATGCAGTTTTTACTAATGCCACAAGAAAGTGGCTTTTGTAGCAATAACTCAGGATTTGACTATTTTCAGGATGACAAATCCTGGCTGTTTGGAGGTTGATTTAATTTTTGGAACTGCTCAAATGTCACTAGGAGCCCTGTGTGAAGAAGAAGGAGGCAGACCGAACCGAGTGGCATTTGGAGCAGGAGGCCCAGCACATGTGGCTGTGGCTCAGTGTGACTAAAAGGGCTTGTTAGAGGCAGTGTCCTGAAAGTGGTCTGTGACCGGCTCAGGGTATGGGCTCCAGGCAGGGCTTTCCTCCCTCCCCCTCAGGCCCACCCTACAGAACACAGGCACACAACAAGTTGAATGCTTTCAATTTAATTGCTCTGAGCCGTACACATGATTAAGGCGTTAAGTTCCCAGATCCCATTCTTTACAGCTTCTCAAGGGAAAAATCTTAGATTCATTTTCTTCCCAGTAGGTCTGGAAGAAAGCAGAGATAAGAATGAGGCTTGAAGGGCCAAAAGCACCACCCACACATTCCATCCTCAACTCAATCTTCTTTCCAACCTCACTGCACCCCTGAGGGCCTGACCCAGAAGTCAGAGGGAGGGAGGTTAGATTCACTGGAGGCCAAATGATGAGCCCTATCCCCCAACCTGGGCAAGCGTGAGAGGAAGAGAAATGAGCAAGCAGACTCTGCAGTGGAAAGGTTTGGGGTAGGACCCCAGGGGCATCTGGTATCAGACAACCATGCATTTTTTATGTGGATGAGAAATTTGAGCCATTTGAAGGCACAAATGAAGGAAATTTCAATGGAGAGGGGCTGAGGTAGTCCCAGATCTCCTGTGTAGGGTGGTGGTGTGGGCATGGTCTTTCCCACCTCCCCAGTTGGCTGGTGGCTGGTGAGCACTCCCGTTCCCACAAGGCTTTGCCTTAGGATGCACTTACTTTTAAGTTGTCTTCTTCTGTTTTCAATTCTATCGTCCACCCTTTTTTTTAAGCTTTCAATGACATTGATTACGTCCGAGATACCTTTCTCTATCACGGATTCTAATTTTGGAGTAGAAGAATCACATCAGCAGAAAAGCCATGTCATTTAAAGAGAGTTCCCACCTCTTCCTCTCTTCCCCCATTATCCTTGTATAAATTCCTAAAGTGCAGAAGTTTTGCTGAGGGGCCTAGCTTCTCTCTCATAGGAAGTGAGTGGGCCAGGAGAGAAACCATGTATAGTGCAGGCAGCAAAATCTACTATTGCAGAGACTCTGGGTGTAGGGTTCACCTCATTTGTGGTTTGTGTTCAGGTGAATGAATGAATGTCTGCTTCTTCTGGGCTTGTCTTTGTGGACAGAGGCATCATGTAAACTTGCTGCCAGAGATTTCTTTGGGTTGTATCCGTTATAGACACAGAGACTTACCCAGGAGATTTTTTCTTTGCTCGGTGGTTGGCTCCTCGGGTGCCACCGAAGTGTCCTGGGCTGCCGCTGAAGTCTGGGCTGCTATGGTTGTCTCTTGGGGTGCATCAGATTGCACTGGAGTTACAAACACACAGATTTGTTGATTTTAGCAAAGTCAAGTGTGTTTTTTTTCCTTAGGAATGGGTGGCAGGGCCTCAGATACCTAATATGTTCTGGGTGCCAGGTTATAGAAATGATATGGCATAAACACTCCCTCTTAAGAGATGTGGGATTTCTACATACTATGTACTCATTATAGATGAGTGTTTGTCTCTTCCCCCCCACTCCACTGCCCTGCCCCAATGCATCTGGTGAAATCTGAACTTCCAACAGAATGGTATCAGGAGGTGGGGCCTTGGGGAGGTAATTAGGTCATGAGGTGAAGCCCTCATGAATGACGTTAGTGCTTTTGTGGAAGGGACCACAGAGAGCTCTCTCCCCTTCTTTCCGCCATGTGAGGATATGATGAAAAGTTGGCAGCCTTCAACCTGGAAGAGGGTTCTCACCAGAACCTGACCATGCAGACACCCTGGTCTCAGATGTGTAGCCTCCAGGACCATGGGAAATATCTTCCTGCTGTGTAAGCCAGTTTTTGGTTAATTGTAGCAGCCTGCCCGAATGGACTAAGACAGAGCCTCTCGGGAGATGGGCAGGCTGGGCACTTGTTCTGGGCAGGGTTGGGGAGGAATCGGGAGAGGAGTGTGGGGGCAATCAGGGAGCATGGGAGAGAGAAGCTGGGTCTTAAATGCAGGATTTTGGCAGGGAGGTTGTTCTAAAGGGGCTTCCTTGGGGGCAGGAAGTGAGTCAGCAAGAGCTCTGGGGAAGGTATGTGTGGGGCAGGTGGGCAGAATGCAAAGAAGTTAAATTTAGCAGATATGGGTGGTACATGAGAGAGAGACATGGGAAAGAGAGTTGGAAATGGGGTCTGAGGCCAGATAGTGGGCACCTTGCAAAGGAGCTGGGAGTCACGAAAGCTGTTTACAGGTAAAGGTCTGCATACTGCATGGGACATTGCAATTATTATTTTACCTTATCATTTTCTCCCTTTTATTCACAAAAGCCTTTTCCCCATTAACCTTGCCTGTATGAGTTCTCCTGCTTCTTCCCTACACCTGTCCCACCCCAATCCATGCTCTTCTATTACCACCAAGATCAGGACCCAGTCCCCTCTCCCTGAATTCCTCCCCCAGCCTCCACTGACATCCCAGCTGTTCGACCCTCCCCAGGGCAGGGACCAGAGGGAGAGAACTCACAGCTTGCAGGGTCCTCAGCAGCTTGTGCAGGACCAGCGTCGACATCTTCTGTAACCGAGAAGAGAGACAACTATGAGGACTGAACCTGATGCACACTAGAGCCACCCTCCCTCGCATTCCCAATTCTGAGCTCTCAGGAACGATTGTGGACACAGGGGGGCAGATTTCACTGTTGGCTGAACAGGTCCTTCTGCCACACCAGTGGGTCCATCAGAGCATTCTTCCTGATGTTTAACTCCTTCTGCAGTTTTTGAAGCAGGTTCTCCTCAGAAAAGTGGATATTCCTCTGAAAACTGCCCTCCTCCTGTGCCTCTAGCTTGTGAGGTGCCCTAAGCTAGTGTCAGGGAGCCAGCCATGGCCTGTGGTGGTGGAGGTTGGTGCAGAGGCCACTGGATCACGCTCATGTGGTTCATGGGATAGGACTCCAGCTCTAATTCCCCGTATTCTTTCAACACAAAGTTTATCCAAAACTCTCTGCTAAGTGAAGGGGGTGCTATGATGAAGAAGGTAGATAAGACCCCGCCCCGACAGAGCTAACATTCTAACGTAATTATTTCGTTCTAGGTGTGATGGTGCAATATGGGCAAAAGAGGTCTAATTGAGCCTTCATACATTTTTTTTGAGGAAGACTTTCTTGAAGAATTCATACCTAAAGTGAGATTTCACAGATGAGAAAGCACCTGGTTAGATGACATTCAGAGTTGGCTGGGGAAGGGGACAGGCAGAAGGAAGAGCAAGAAGGAAGGTCCCAAATTTTGAGGAGTGGCAGGGTTGTCCTGGCCCAAGTAGTGCTTTTGTGCAATTGGAAAAGGCATCCTGAGAGATAGCCATGGGCAGGATACGCTGCTCGGCAAGTGGGACATGGGCTCCATCACCTTCTCTGCCTGGTACCCTTGTGCATGGGACAACCTACTCAGGTATATTCAGTGGCACAGAGGCCCTGCAATAAGACAAGTGTGACCATTATAGGGGGTGAAGGAGGATGTGTGAGGAGATGGCCAGAGGTTTCCTGCCCTCCCTCTAGCTCCAGCAGTGAGGTAAATAGGCCACTTGTGGAGAACCGGGGGGGTGGGGAGAAGGAGTCACTTGCAGAGGGAAGAGAAGCCAGCACAGCACTGGGAGAGAAAGAGAGGAATAAAGGCAGGAGCTAAGGCTTCCCTGGATTGTGAGGGCTTTGGTGGGTGCAGGGGGAGGGCCATACTCACGGGCACAGACCAGGGCCCCAGCCAGAGCTGCCAGAAGGAGAAGAGCTGTGAATCTCATGGTTGACGCTCAGGAGTGAGTATCACCACAGAATCCTCAGAGGGTCCCAAATACAGTGCTGGGACTGCTGGGCCCTTTTAAGGACGCCAAGAGCCAATGGGAAACAAACTAGGAGGGGTGTGACTTCCTCCTCCTCCTCCCCTTCTTCCCGAGATTGTCACTTGCTAAATCAACAAGGATGAGCTGGGGCTGGCAGATACCTGGCACCAACCTTCTCTTTCCTTCTCCACCCCACCTGCCCTCTGGGTTCACATCTCTGGGATCTCAGGGACTGGAAGTAGCAGGTTTGGTTTGGGAGATTTTAAAATGTGTCTGTTGAGGGTACTGGTAGGACTCTTAGTCCTGAAATCTCTCCTGGAGGAGGCTGGGGGCTTGGGAGACCACATTGCCCACCTCTTGCCTAGATCTCCTCTGGACTCAGTGCAGGGGCTTGAAGGTTTCTCCAGGCTAAGTGAGCCCTGTTCCCTGGGGAGGCCACACTCAGAACACACTTGGGGACTGAGTTCATGGCTCCTTTATCCTCTTGAGAACATGGCTTTGAAAGCACTGGTGCCTTCTCTGGAGTTGTCCTCTCTTCTTGCCCTTAATCCCATAGGAAGAACTCCCCCAGCCCCACATGGGCCCCTGTCAGTCTCTATGCTCAGGTCCAAGCAATGGGATCCCACATTTCTGAGAGGATCTCCTGGTTAAAGGAAGCTGGTCGTTCACTGAAGTTGGACTTTGGCTCTCCCTTCCCGTAGGGAGCTGACTCACAGTCAGAAAAGCAGGTAATTCTCTTTGACTTGGGAATTCTTCTTGCCCTGAGTTGGTAACCAAGAAGCCTGGATTTTGAGTTCTGGCTTTGTCATATACATGAGACAGTGAACTGTCATATGCTAAAAAACTTTAGGATTTTCATTTGTCATTGAGGAGTTATGGCTCCTGTACAGGAGAATGGTGAGATAACATACGGCAAAGCATTTTATAAGCAATACATTTCTATGGAGATGTGGGGGATTCTTGAACTTTGAGAGGGTTCATCTTTCTGGGTAGGTTTGATTCAGGCTGTTGCTAAGTGCTAAATGGAACGGGGCTGAGGAGAAACAAGAGCCACTTGAGGAACTGACAGGTGGAGAATAGGGTGCTGGATACCAACTTGTGATTTTCCATTAGCTGGGTGCTTGTTCTCACCAGGCCCTGGGTGCTCCTGCAGGCTTCCCTGCCTCACAGCTGTTCTGCAGACCTGTGTGTTCAAGGGGGTAGGAGGGCGTTTGGCGTTGCCGGGTTCAGAGCATTAATCTCCTCAGGAGATAAAGAAGGGGGACATTACTGGCATGAGGAGTGAGTTCTTTCAGGCCATTTCACCCATCCTTAACCTCCAGTAAGATAACCATCACATTCAGGCAGCTGATCTGCTCCACACATGGGGTGTGGGACCTGGGTTAAAGTAATTGTGCCCCCACTAACTCCCTGTGTGGTTTGATATTTGAAATTTATCGGAATCTAATGGTGGTCAGTAGGTGAAGAAGAGGAAGGCATTCAATTAACATAGGGACAGGACTTGGCAATTGACTGCCTACCTGAGGAGGCTTGAAGGTGATGGGGAGGGCTGAGGGACAGGAGAAAGTGCTCTAGGGTGTTTGTGCATTTGTGTGTCCATGTATACAACAGAGAAGGAGAAGCTCTGACTCAAGAGCCCAAACAGTCTACCTGAGCACATTAAAAAAGCCAACAGAAGCAAACTATGATATTTGCACAAGTTTTTTTCTAAGAGGAAATTAGAACTCTGGCATCAACATTAGAGCTGTCACAGAGCAAGGTCTTTCCAAATGTCACTGCTCATTCCCGTTCCTTTCCTAATCCTCCTCTTTGCTCCAGGCATTAAAAAGGCAGGTATTGACATAAATGGGGGTGGGGGGGGAGGTGTAAGGCAGGGACACTTGTTCT